AGAAGTGTGGGCCCAGGATACCTTCCTGGACAGTGGCCCTCCTCCCTGGTTGGTGTGGACTTACCTATCCCACCTGGCTGCCGAGTGGCTCCTCTTCCCCTAGGAAGACCAGACATGAGTAAGTGGAAGGAGAAACTGGTAGTGTTGACTCTAATTCTGCTTCCTTCCAGGGAGCAGAGTTGATGTCCCTCCCTCAATGTAGGAGTGAGAATGGGGGTGAGGGCTCAGCCAAGCTGTTGTGCTCAAATGTGTTGTGATCCCCAGTTCCTATGGGCCAAACATTGGGACAGGAAGTACTTACCTCTGCTGTCTCTTGGAATCTTGGCTTGATACCAACTAGCTTTGCTACCTGCGTCCTTTATGTAGAGCTGGGCAGCTGTGGAATCTCCAGAGCAACATAAAATTAAGTAGCAAGTGAGCCGGGCTATGGTGGCTCAATGGACTGAGTGTCCTCCCTGGACCAAGAGGTCCCGCGGTCAATTCCCAGTCAGGGAATTGATCCCTGGTTTCAGGCTTGATCCCCAGTAGGGGGCGTGTGGGAGGCAGCCAATCAGTTCTCCCCATTGATGTTTCTGATTTCCCTTCCTCTCCGAAATCAATAAAAATATATTTTTAAAAAATTAAGTAGCAAATGGAAAGTTTAGCAGCCTTCTCTCAGGTACTTTAATCACCTTCCTAGAAAGTCACCTTTCCTGCCAGTTTTGACTTCTTTGCTTCCTGTGTATTTTTCTCCTTCTAGCCTGTTTGCCATCATGTTGCTTTTGTACTCCTTGCAGATGTTAATCTGAATGAGGAATATTCCTCATCATGTAACATTTCTGTTCTTAGGTGTTGGAGGGTTTGCTTCCAAGCCCTAAAATATCTTCAGCCCCAAGATGACATTTCTACCTACTTAGTATCAGACCAGCCATCTCTCATGTTCTTTGAACAGATTTCCTGACAAAAGCAACGGTATAAAGATTGTGCATCTAATGGCAAAATGTGATTAAGCATCTTATGTAGAATGGAATTTCCTCATAAAATTGATCTAAATGCCTTGTAACATTTTAAATGGTTCTCTTAGCACCATTTTTTTCAGGCATGCCATGAATAACCTGGCTTTTGTGGGCCAGCTGGGAATGTAGCAATTTAAAAAAAGTTTTTATTGAATTTATTGGGGTGACATTGGTTAATAAAATTATATAGGTGTAGCAATTTTTAATGTAGACACTTAAAATGTGTTTTCTTATATAATGTCACCTTACAATGTTGATATTGGAATGTTTCCTATTGACAGAGAATGCAGTTTTTAGTACAATGTCTCCTTATAAATGAATTCAAGGACAGCTCATGTTTATAAGATGGGGACAGCCTTTTTGTATTTTTAATGCTTTTAACTTTCTCTCTGATTTATATTTGTGCTTGCTTATATAAAACAACGTGGGGATTTCTTATGATTTTGAAATCTGCCTACAGGTTTGAGTTCCTTGGGGGTAGGGTAGAGATTTGAATCAAGTACATCAAGTTCAAGGCTTGTCTGCGCCTCAGATTTTGAAAAGCGCCTTGGGTGCTCGCTTTGGCAGTATACATACTACAAAAATTGGAGTGATACAGAGAATATTAGCATGGCCCCTGAGCAAGGATGACATGCAAATTTGTGAAGCTTTCCATTTTTTAAATATCACATAAAGGTTAGAGAAGGAAAAAACATTAAAAAAGATAGAAGAAGACAATAGCTACTGCAATTCGGAAATGAGCTCTCAGCATAAATCAGGATACTCTGCGACAACAAAAACATAAAAGGGGAGAAGGTAAAGGTCTGAATTTGCAAAGGGGAATGGAGATAAGATACATGCATATAACCTTAAGCTTGTCCTCTCTCCCAGGTATGAAAGGCTACAGAAAACGTGCTCCATAGCCCTGGTCGGCAAATACACCAAGCTGAGGGACTGCTATGCCTCTGTGTTTAAGGCTCTGGAACACTCAGCCTTGGCCATCAACCACAAGTTGAATCTGATGGTGAGTCACGGCCCGGTCGTCTGGATATTTCAGTCATTCACTCTGATATAGCTTGTGCTTCAGAGAGGTAGACTGTGTCTATGGCCAAATTACCTGAACGCACCGATCTCATCAAAGAGGTTGATTGTGTTGAAGGACCCCCAAGTCCAAGTTTCCAGATGCCAGCCAAGGGCCAGCCTTGTAAGCAGGCCTTTCCACTGATAGTCATGTTAACTTTATTGAGCATACAGGTTTAAGGCACAGTTCCTGAAATTAGGCTTTGCACATCCAGGGCCATATATACTTCATGCTCATGTAAGTACATTATATTTGCCTAACAGGAAAATAAGAACTTTTTTTCCCCTTTAGCAATTGAAATAGAGTCCAGATTTTAAAAATGCTATATTGCCTTTTCTAACTTGTAGGAGTGATATCTGGCAAACAGAGGGGTTGCCCACCCCAGGTCTATATATTCTATAGGCAAATTTTTCATATTAAGTATTTTGTGGCCTTCAGTCCACTCTTTTTCTTTTCCAGTGGGAACTCTTTTTTCTCTGTGGTCCCAAAGTTGTATATTTTTTAGAATTCTTACCCGAGGATATGTTTTTATTGTGGAAGAGAGAGGGAAAGACAGAGAAACATCGCTGTGAGAGAAACACAGTGGTGGGTTGCCTCCTGCACGTGCCCCGACCAGGGCCAGGGCTGGGGAGGAACCTGCAATCGAGGTACATGCCCTTGACCAGAATCAAAACCCTTCGGACCATAGGCCTAGGCTGATGCTCTGTCCACTGAGCCAAGCTGGGTAGGGCAGTCATTCCTTTCTTTTCCCACCTGGCTGGTAGGTGCCCTGTTCCTACCTGCAGGACTTCTCTGAGTCTTACTGTTTAACCACCTCTGGGCTGGGTTTTAACAGAAGTCACTGAATCTTCTCAACAGGCCACAGACCAGAGTAGATAACCCATCATAATCAGTGACCATGGCATAGATTTAAAACTCCTTTCATCACCAAGGAGATGGATACCAGCTACTTCTCTAGCAATCCCAATTCAGTACTTCTCTCTTCCTTATTTATGTTCATTTTCTTCTATCATTTATATACACGACTTTTCTCCAAGAAACTTTAGTTCCTTGAGAGTAGAGCCCTATTTTTAAAAAATATTTATATTGATAATGTACTGCCTCATCCCCCCATGATCCACCCCAATTCTGTGATTTGGAGGAAGGGAGAGAGATAGAGAGTCAGAAACATCGATGAGAGAGAGACATCGATCAGCTGCCTCCTGCACACCTCCCACTGGGGATGTGCCCGCAACCCAGGTACATGCCCTTGACCGGAATCGAACCGGGGACCCTTCAGTCCGCAGGCCGACGCTCTATCCACTGAGCCAAACCGGTTTCGGCGTAGTGGGAACTCTTGAAGTAACGTGTCTTAACGTTTTTAGTCACAGGAAATAGAAGTGCTAGTTTAATGTTTTAACACCGGCACTAGAGTGCATAAGACCTCGTTAGGGGAAGAAGCGCGGTAGAACAGGGAGGTATCTGTAATACTATCAGCAATTTTTTTAAAAAAGCAAAACTTTTTTTAAAAGAATTATTTCCTAGACAAGGTTTTTGTGGGCAGCTTATTCTACGAAAAGCGAAGGTAAATTTGCATATTACGTAAATCAGGCTGACGGGGAAAATGACAATCTGAGGTTAAAAAGGACAAATTTAAAAGTTTTCTTAAATTTGATTCCTGAAAATTGGACTGCTATTTAGAGAGTAACCTGAAAGTTTTTATTCCAGCACTGAATTTTAACATAAAGTAACCACCATCACACCGTAATAGGAGTTGCTTTTACCCGAGGGGTGAGTTTCAAAAAGCGGTCAGTATCTTTCTCCTCCTCTTCCTCTCGCTATCCTCCAGGAGAGAGCTGACAAAATTTTTGGCGGCCTTGCTTCGGCAAGGCTTTTTCGTCTTGTTTAAAAAAAAGAAATGAAAAAAAAATCAGTTGGTTGGGTTTAAAGATTGGCCAAGCGGGAGATAGCCGAGCTTAGCCAAAGATGGCGCGGTTAAGCTCTCCGATTGGTCGGTTGCCTCCTGACCCCTACTGGGGCTGGAGCCCACAACCCGGAATTGAACCGTGACCTCGTGGTCCATAGGTCATCCCTACTGGGGATGGAGCCCACAACCCGGACATACACCCTGACCTGGAATTGAACCATGACCTCGTGGTTCATAGGTCAACGCTCAACAATTGAGCCACGCTGGCTGAGCTTGCGTATAATTTTTGTGGTTGTGAGATATAGAAGTACCTGTTCAGTGTAGAAAAATTTAAAAAGGTTCATGTAAAATGCAGAAAGCGAAAGATTTCACTTCCCTGACATCCCACTTTTCTCTGTACCTCTCATTCCCAGTTTAATGCATATCTTTCTAGACTTTTCTCTATATAGAAATGTTTATATTTAATGATAATTCTGCATGGGTATATCATACTTCAAGAAAGCCTTATCATCATGATTTATATGGTAAAACTTTTATATAAAGAGCAAAAAGGAGCTCCGTAGGGCCTGAGCGCTTCCATGGCTTTGTTGCCAGAGGGACTGGACCAGCTGCCAGCCGCCTGCCTGTCGCTGTGCGCGGGCCGCCCAACCTGGCTGAGCTGTACAGCGAAACGCAGCGTCTGGCGCTCGAGGA